CTTTGTATTTTTTTTGTTGGGGGGGGTGGTGCACCTCCGCGCCCTCCGCTAGATACGCCACTGCTTTCAACAGTCTAACCCTTGTGTGTGGGGGAAAATATACTTTAAAAAATGATGATGATGATGATTAATATGTGGCAAAGGCAAGCCAAACCAGTCACTCGTCGCAAATCGTGTTTCAGAGAAAATGGTCAAAACAAGCTGGAATGTCAAATTTTAAAAAATCTATTTTATTGCACTAAACTAACCTTTATATATCTACACATCATTCTATGCTGTTATTTTCCACATTTTCAATGTTAAAACAATACTTTTTAAGGATTTAAATATAGTTTCTGCATGAGAAATGTCTGAAATCATAAACTTTGACGGCTAATTTCTCATATATTGTTCTTTAAACAGCTGTGTGGTTAAATGCTTGTAACTTCATAAGGAAATGTCCAATTTGAATGATTTTTTTACTTTACCATTTTATAGCTATTATTTTACTCTCTAGCACTGTATTAATAACTCAAAATCGATTTTTGCGACGAGTGACTGGTTTGGCTTGTCTTTGCCACATATTAATATTATATATCCACTATACAAATCACCAATTATTACCATTTCACATATAAATTTAAATTTAAAAAAAAAACAATTATTATATTGTATAGATTATTACTATATTATTCATAAGGTATTTTATTACTATTGATAAATATTCATAAAATAAATGTTTAAATAGATTATGAATATTTTTCGTGATGCTTTCAATAGAATTTAATGTGGTATTTAAATATGAGAAATTTCAATTAAATTTTTTTGAGTTTTCTAAATTTTGTGAGACACATATTCCAATTTTATCATTTCTTAATGCATAAATATATTCATGATGTAATTTTTATCTTGAGTTTAACAATACAATAAATATAAAGGAACGAAGAACTCAAAGCATTTAATACATGCAAATCCAGAATAGATTTGAATTATGCGAGGAATAAGCATCCAAAACAAATCTGCACTAAACTGCCAATGGCGTAATTTGCTATTAAAATGGTAAACGCATGCAGAAATAATATCTTCAAAACGAATTAGTATTACTTGTCATATACACAGGTAATGGTGGTTGTTGATGGCAGAATGATATAAATGTGTTCCTATTAACATAAAAACATCTTCAAGCATATCAGTAAAGTTGCTAGATTTTCTAAAATATTGCAAGCTTATGTAGAAGTACTGAAAAATGTGTCCATAATATTGAAATTATAATAATTATTATGATTAGATACTTTGATATTAATAAGGGACTGTTACACATTGTTTTGGAAAAATCACAGGCTGCCAAAAATAGCGACTTAGGCAAACATTTTTTATTCCTTGTTTCAGGAACATCAGAGGAGGGCGGAAGTTTTGTTTTCTTTATTTATCTAATAGTTTTGCCTAAAACATCCACACAGAGGAAAATATAAAAATAAAATTTGATTAGTAAATGTAAACAGTGTAGTAATAGGATGGTTAAATGTTTTAAATTTAAATAATTAGGAAGAAATATACATATCTTATCTCTGGAGGCTGTAATAAAAATAAAAATTTTTTTTTTCTGAAATTTCCATTTTCGTAGTGGCAGGTACGCTAATTGGTCAAAAATAATATTTTATTTTTATTTGAAATATTCATTATTTGCAGGTGGTGGGTTCGATAAACAAGGTATAAACGAAGTCTCGCCTTACATGAAAATCCTCCAGTACTGTTAGCAGAATCCTCAATAAGAATAGGTAAAACTTGTGTTTATAAAAATGTAATAATTACAGTAGTTGTTCTGTATAGCATTGAATTTGTTGTGTTTATTTGTGTGTGTGGAGTGTGAGTAATGTCTTCATACAATCTTTCCTAAATTTTGGCATGTAAATAATTTATATGTTTTAAATATTATATTTATGTAATTTTAATAATTATTGTGTGTTGTGTGTGCTTGGTTTGTATAAAAATTTAAAAATTTTTGTATGTAAATAATATTTTCTATGTAAATTTTAAAATATATATAATTATGTTTTTCATCTTAAGTGCAATGATGGACATTTGCAGGTATTTTGAATATAAAATTGAAAATTTTTTTCAATAATTAAAACATTTTTGATATTTGTAGTTTGTTTTGTATCCTTTTATAGTTTATATTGGTTTAATTGTTTTTGCATTGTAAATCAATAATTCACCTTATGAGCTGCTTAATATTCTGTCTTTCTTTTACACCCAAATAAAAAAAAAAAAAATTAAAATTAAATATTATTTTTGGTCTGCAATGTGGAATCATAATAAAACCCTAGCTTTTTAAACATATTTTTTATCATGCCGCAAAATACTGCCATTAAATCTCCCCATCAGAAATTTTTATAAGCGACAGCACTGACTAAGGAACACCGGCGCCATCTTTATCACAAATAAGTAAACAAATATAAAGTAAATATTAATCTTTACTGAACTGTTTACATAGCATTATGCCTGTCCTGATTCTTGGCATAGAGACTTAGGGACCATAGCTTTGAATAGTGTTGTTGTTAATATCATTGATGTGTTTGTCATTTTCCTTTAATATTAGTCTACCAAAAGTAATTGAATTACAAGGTTAAAATATATTTTTTCTAGGAATGCATACTGCAGTTTATATTTCATCAGCTGCATTTTGTGACAATATTTATTTCAGCAGATCAATTATGCAAGATATAAAAAGGAAAGGATAAAATAAATGCAACACTGTTAGATATAGAGTCTGAATTTTAATTACCGGTACTTTTTTTTATATAGGAACATGGGCAGAGGATTGCTACTGTAAAAGCACATTTATCACTCTCCAAATTAAACAATTTTGAAAAAAAAACTTGCACTCCAGGTTCTCCTACCTTGCCACTAACTAGCCTAGAAATTATCCTATACCACAAAAAAAATCCACTCACAGGTGGTTGGGGTTGAGGTGAGCAAATTTTTATCATAGATACCTCCAGATTCCTGGAAATGGTACTTTCAAAAAATAGTTTTCAAAGCAGTATTTTCAATAGAATACATGCCCCCGAGCCTGCGGGTGCTTCAAATGGTAGACATCGCATCATATCAGCGCCCAACTTAATCCATTAGTCTTCCTCTCCACATGCCAATACCCTACGCCAATAGATACAGTGGGCTATACTCAGAAAAAGCCACACTCATTGTAAACAATGCTAGAGTAGGGGTGCCCAGGTGGTGTTTGTAGATAAGCATTTTTTTTTTTAAATGGGCCGGAAAATAATTTATTTTTAACAATGTTGTTGTGCGGGCCGGATCAAAATCTTTGGCGGGCCGGAGTTGGCCTGAGGGCTGGGGGGTGAATATTGGGGGTTAGACCAAATGGAGATGTGCAGGCAATGTAGAAAGAATCAGAGACAATTTTTGGTAAAATTCAGGCCAAAGGTCAAGAGATATCTAAAGACCAGATGGCGAAGTGGCGGTGAGCAGACTACTGGCATCAACTGGATAAGCATGGCTCAAAAGCGTACGTGATGGCGCGGTCATAAATACAACCGACAACGGATGATGCGTAATGATTATTCAATCAATCAATCAATTAATCAATCAATTGATTAAATACCACAACGAAGTAATTCTTGTAGTTCCATGATGCCACAAACATCCCAATTAATTAAATTATTATTTACCTAATAATATCCCAATTAATTGTTTGCAAAAGCATTACTATCAACTGTACACAGCTTGTTTAATCTGTACAAAGTTCCCTTTGCTATTAAAATTAATCATAACCAAAGACAACACACCATCTGGTATTTACAAGAACATTAAATATACCATACATTAAATATCACAACTATAAACTGACTGAACAATTTTCAACTTTGTAAATGATTATTAATAATTCAACTCACCATTTACAGGATGGTGGTACCAGTTTATTCAATTCTTCCAGAGATTTTTCTGACCTATATTCCTAAAACAAATAATATAATATCATAAATATAAAATATTCTTATCATAATTGGAAAATATATTTCAATTTGCAAGAATTTTTTTTCCTCCCAAATATGGAACTATATAGCCTGTTTACACTATGACGATATGATCAATGATAAAAAGCTAAAAAGCAATTGTTCTTATAGAAAATAAAAGAAATAGAATTTTTCACAGTAGCACAATCCGATAACGATTTATCATGTATACGATAAAAAAATATTTTCACAAATCAAATGGCGTCATAATAGTAGGAAAATGTAAAAAACGATTTAATCGTTTTTCCATGATTATTACCTTATTTGATTTGTGAAATTATTTTTTTATCGTATACACGATAAATCGTTACCGAATCATCGTTGATCGTTATTGTCAATGTCAAAGTGTATACAGGACTTAAAGCTGTAAACAGCTATATACAGTACTTCCCTTCTTTACTATTGTTGAAAATTGATAAGATGTATTATAAGTGTATAAAAAATTGCAAGCACTAAGCAAACATTTAGTGTTAATACTAAACAATAATATACTGTTTTGAGATTTGCATTGTGAAGTAACAGTAATAGATAGGTTTGCGGAATACCACATAGGTAGTTCTGAAAAGAACTGTTTCATTGTTAAGAATAACTAGACATTTCGATAGATTACTTTTATCATTTTAGAGAATGATGATTATTTATAATCCTTCTCGTTTAATACGACGAAAGCAATTTTAAACATTGGCACTTTGCCAACAAAGCATCTAGGGAAGGGCATGGGGTGGCACGTTCCTCCCTAAAAAAAAACTTTCATGCCCACCCCCCCTCATTGAAATTGTTTAAAGCAAAAAAATCATGCTCAAGTAGATAAAAAGCACCTTATATAATAGTTCATCTAATTTTTCACTCTCCCCTACCTATAAGGGGAACCCCAATTTCAAGCCGCCTAGATACGCCACTGTTGACTGCTGATTAATGCAGGTCTAAATTAGAATTTGTATTTACAACAGAAAGCAATGTCTGTGGTCAGGCTTCAGCCTAACCCATTGCGTTCCTTTCTATTAACTTCATTTCTCTCAACATCTTCTTTGTGGGGACAAAACCAAAACGTATTCAGTAAAACTTTTTCTGTTTCACTTTCTGTTGATGATTATTGTAATTTCCTTTAAAAAAGATTTTAAAATATACCGTAGTTCCTCTTGAATAAGCCTATCCACATTGAATACAAAACTTGGCTAATTTTAGGGGATGGGCTTAAACCCGGCAAACCACCTTTTCACTCACAAGGCAATTTTTCATCACTGCATTGCACTAAACTCTGTATATTTTTTCATTATTATTATTATTATTATATTTATTATTATATTTATTATTACTATTATTATTATTATTACTATATGTAATTGAAGTGTAATTTTTTTTTGTCAAATTTTATTTGGGGTCACTATGAGACAAGTTATACTTCTAATTTTGATCCCAGTAATGGTCTTGTTATTATTTATTTTAAACATAACAAAAGTTGATTATGTATTTCATAATATCTATTATCGTAATTTTCTTCTTTGACCATTATGCAATAAATGTTAAATGTTAATGAATCTGAAATTCAAAGCCATATTTGAAATTTTTCTAGAGTATTTGTAAAAGTCAGCAAAGCTCCTCATTCAAATTATACCCTGGGCTTTTGCCTGAGGAAAGGCTGGTACATAAAACTGGGTATAAAGTAGGAGCAGGGCTTATACTCGAGGTGGGCTTACACCCAAGAAACTACGGTACTTGTTTCAGAAATACTGTTATCTCTGCCTTATTTTACTCATTCTCCTTTTGATGCATTTTGAATTGGTGCTCTATAAATATCTTTTCTTAATATTAAAACTGAATACAATATGATATTTGCTTAATCATTGATCATTGTAGCACTAAGAAAGGGTAACAATAGGTAAGGACTCCTAGAGAAGAATTTTCATTGAAGATCAATTGTCGATGTGTTCAGTGATGCATAACCATTGCTGTTGCTTAGCAACATAAAATAGTGATTGTTATAGTACTGTAGAAAGAAATAACTGTAATTAACCATGAACAAGCCAGAACCTTCAAGACCACTTTAATTTTCTGAAAAAGAACAGATGAGTGAAAAGTGGTCTGTTTGACTGCTCTGATCTTGAATATTCCATTCAAGATAATTGATAGCACAATTTTTAGTGTTTTTAATTTAAAAAACAAAAAAAACCCAAAAAACTACAGTAGAACACTATTAAAGGGACACATTCAAGACCAAAACTGTCCCCGTAATAGGGGGTCCTCTGAATAGGGGTTAGCCATAGTGTTAAAAGATATACTTTTCTTCATTTCATGGCCGAATAAATGTCCCCCCATAATAGGGATGTCTCCTTAATAGGGTGCCCCAAAAGGAGAGGTTCTGTATTTTGTTTACACCCCTATCAGATATTTGGGACATCCCTGTCGGCAAATTTCTGGCTAGGAAAGAATCTGGGGGACTTAACAGTCTGTTTTCCCATTCCTTGCAAAAAAACTAGAGAAAATACACCTTAAAGCTGACTTCACAAAATTGCAACTTTAGCTTTAAGAGAGAATTAATAGAAGGATGTACAATATTGCTCAAGATAATGATCTTTAAGGCCACTCCTGCCTATTGTGGTACCTGGGAAAAAAACTTACCTGTACAAAAGCAACCGTTACAACAATCAAGATAGCCTACAAGAAAAAAAAAATAATGCATTGCAAGATTTTAGTGAAATGCATATAGTCATATCAATAAAATATTTTGTAGCCTTTAAACTATTAAATTAATTATATCCAGACTCCATATTTCTATGCAAAATTGCTTTCAATTAAAAAATATTTTGTTTTTTCTAATGACAATTTATTTAATCGCCCACCCAATATTTTAAGCTAATCAATAAGCGTAGGCTTTAAGATTGTATCTTCATCTCTCATTTTTATTATGTTGCATTTGCCTAGTAAGTTAATTTTAATCTTAAAAATTATCCTTTTATAACAATGGCCCATAGGAACACATACTCATTTTTCTCCATAGTTGCAGCTACTCTATTCTAGTAGTTTTTATTCATAATCACTATTGTTACAGTGGCACACATCACATTGATGGTGTTTTATCCAAAGAAAAATAAAAAAACAAACAAAAGATACATGAAAAATAACTTAACTACAGCAACTTAAATTACAAAAAAGCAACAACCTCAACTACAATATATTTAACTACTTAAAAAAAAAATGAAAAAACTGACAATTCATATTCGTTAAAGAAAAGGTGGTATTTTAAATACTTATTATGTTTAATTTGATCTTGTATTCCAAGGAAACTTAATGTAATTTGCAGGTTCAAAATTCAAATGCAAATGGTTTTTGATTAAACATGAATATTTTCTAGTTTTAGTAGATCACTAAGTGTCAATTTTCGATTTGTATTTTTACCTTTCCAATTATATTATATATTTAAGTTTACAGTACTTCACATTATTCATTATAGAACACATACTCAGTTCCCTTAAAGAGAATTCAACAGTGCTGCAGCTCTATAATATAGATCCAAGTAATTGGCATTGAAATATACTTTATTTTATTTTATTTATTCAGACACCCAACAGTGTTAAGAAACACCAATAACACGATAAAAAATCCCATTTTTACAAACATTTACACAAGAAAAATTAACATTAAACAAATCTTTACAGGATCTTTATTTTTATCACGTACTCATTTATATACTCCTGACATGAGTGGAGAAAACTGTACTGTAAATTACATGCTTTGGACATTAAGGTAAATGCGAAGCCAAAGACATGGATCTCGAACCAAATCGCAACCACTGTGCGAACAGACCATACCAAGCCATGTTATTCTATTGGCTTATCACTCTTTTTTGTATAAGATTAAATACAATTTTAAATAATAAAATAGATCTGGGCTTACAACTAATGTAGCACTGATTAATACAATTACAAACCATATTTTCTCTGGTATAATCCCCCATCCCTAAACACAAAATTGGGCCAATTTGGGGGAAGGGCTTATACCCAGCGAATTCCCTTTTACAAGAAAATTGATGATCCTTTTTTAACTGAAAGTAAGTTGTTCAGTACTATGCCAATTCACAGCTAATCTTAACATTTTTTTTTTCAGAAGATATTGTAAGAGACAGCTGAGCATACACTGGGCTTTTGCTTGAGGAAAGGCTGGTATGTAAAATTGGATGTAATGTAGAGGGTGGGCTTATACTTGAAAAGGGCTATACAGTAGTATTTTATAGGCTTACAGTGTAGGGATTGCATTCAATTGTGTAAAAAAGAATATCTCAATAGAAATACTTTGTGAAGTCGGTGTAAAATTTGACCCTAACATTTAGATTTATATGAATTGGGTAAGAGTGAGGATATACCGTAAAATCTTGAATTGAAGCTCAATGGGCTTAAAGCCCCATTCCCGGCAAAATTTCAATTTTTAAGAAAAATCTAATTTTTGTATAATGTTATAAAGATTTATAAACATAATACGGAATTGCTAGTTTAACTGAATTTAGACATTCCTAAGAATGAA